TCAGACATTTCGTTGATGTAAATTCTTCTCTGAATCTCTTTCAAACAGGACACAGCATTTCAACTTTAAGTTAATGCTGACACAACGTGGTTATATCTATTTCTGTACTGATTTCCTTCCAGTATCATGAAAATGGTCACAGAAACCACATTTCCCCGAAATTAAAAAAGTAAATTAACAAAATTCATATCTCATGAACCAATAAGAGAAAAGGAAAAAATGTTGGATTCTGAAATTTCGTCCAATGTCTGATTGCTGTGAATCTTTTCAACATTTTCATGGCATAGTCGAGCGTCAAGATTCTTCCGAATCGCGTCAGTTGGTATGGAATGTCCCATAGATTTCTCATTTCTTTTTAAGACCTGAGGCCTATTTAAGGGAAAAGCACGAGCGGTGTATGTATTGGGTCGATCGGAAAGTTTTGGCCGTTTCGAGAACAATCCATACAACCGAGTTTTTTTTTTTTTAAAAAAAAGCAAAAAAGTTCATTCAACGAAGTAATCGCCATCACAGTCGATCACTTTTTGTCAACGATCAGGCAGGCTCCCGAGAACTGAGCCGGCTGAGTCGAAAAAATCCGTCAGCCGGTTTTCGACCTCGGCATCATCGTTGAACCTTTTCTGGCGACGATGGTCGTCCAGAGTGCGGAAGAGATGGTAGTCGGTTGGCGCCAGACCTGGGCCATACGGAGGGTGAGGCAGAACCTCCCAGCCCAGATCCTGCAGTTTCTGCCGTGTGATCTTCGCGACATGCGTGCGGGAATCGAACGCGACGGTGCCCTGGCCTCACCGTGCGGAGTCTGTCGGCGAGCTTCTGCAGTCGATCGCAGACGTAGACGGCGGTGATGCCGGTATCGGATGGGAGCAACTCGAAGTCGATCACGCCTTGCACGTCACACCGAATGCACGACATGACTTTTCGGGGGTGCAGGTCACCTTTCGGCTCCGGCTCTGGCCGGGCATCGGCATCGACTCACTGGCGCCTGCGTCGGTAGTCGACGTACGACATCCACTTTTCGTCTCCAGTGACTACGGAATCCAGCCAGTCGTTTTTGCGCTCGTAAGACAGCAGCGAAGTGCCGCGGTCGCGGTCGCTCGGATCTTGGGGTACCCACCGCTCTTCTTGCCGATTGCAGCCAGGTGCGTCACGATCGTGACGCCGAGTTGACTGGGTGCAGCCGAGTGCCGTCGCTAAGTCGCGGGTACTTTGCCTCGGATCGGCTTCCACCGCGTGCTGCAACTGCTCGTCGTCGATTTGAGATGGGCAGCCTGACCTGGACTCATCCTCGAGGCTGTAATTTCCAGACCGGAAACGATCGAACCATCGTCGCGCCGTCCTTTCATAAATTGCACCTTGGCCAAACGCAGCGCAGATGGGGCGACTCGATTCGGCTGCTGTGATGCCAGATAAGGAAGGAAGTAAAGAAGACACTGACGTTGGGCGGTCGAGTTAAAGTCCATTTTGGAAGTCATGGTTATAAGCTTTGAACGACTAAGCAACTGCTGCGTAATCACGCCCACACATCATTTATGTACTGCTATTGTGGGAGGTTCAAGAAAGTTCTAGATTTTTTTTTCTGGAAAATTCTCGAAACTGCCAGAACTTCTCGATCGACCCAATAGATGGCATCCGTCACCTCAAACCTAGTTTCCTCTTATCTATTGGCCACCACGCCCTGTTATGCGGAGTATTCTACGCCGTAAAACATGTACCAGGAACGAGAAGGCCGAAGCCATTTTTGCTTAGTTGAAGGAATTTCCGCTCTTGCAGAATGAGCTCACGGGAGTAAAGACGGACTTTCCCGGCCCTGGTGCGCATCGGAGCGAGAGCAAAGATGCTTAGCAGGGAGGCCGGCGACGAGGACGGTGAACCCGTCCAATTTTCTTCTCTTAGCGCGATCGCTTCATGCGATCGTCATTCGCATGAAGAGGTTCTTTGTTATTTTCTTTTAAATTAAACAGGTGTGTCTTACGTGTAGAAAAATCAAAAAAGGTATGGCCTCACGCAGCCGATTCTCTCTTTCCAGAGAGTCTGAAGGTTGCTTTTTTTCTCTCACTCTCTTTGGATTGTCCAAATATTGCGCAGGGGGGCACTGGATCTGTGAAGGTCCCTCTTTCACACGGAATAGTTCATTTAGGACGGAGACGGGACGACATCCAGTGAGCTGGTTAACAACCTACTAAGTATTCCTAATAGAGACACATGCGTGGCACTCCCAGGGAATCCCGTGGAATGTCCCTGTTTCACACGGAATAGTTCATTTAGGACGGAGACGGGACGACATCCAGTGAGCTGGTTAAGAACCTACTAAGTATTCCTAATAGAGACACATGCGTGGCACTCCCAGGGAATCCCGTGGAACCTTCCAGTGTTAAAACAGGGGGACAAAATAGATGAAAGGATTGTGCAATTCTGGATAATTCCATTCTTGATTGCTTTCTCGCTTGTGTTCACTTCCCGTTCCACGCGCTTCTCTTCTTTTTTTTTTTAGCGAAAGGCCTCTAAAAATTGTCTCGTCTGAAACAAGCTAAAATCCCTATGTTGAATGAAGTGAAATTTGGACGAGGTCAGCTCTGGTACTCAGGGTATATAGATAGATCTATCGATATACCTTGCTGCGATGTCCAGATCTGAAAAAGAGGTCTAGAGGAGAAGCAATGCTGTTTCGGTGGCTACGTCACAGGATGTGGCCCAATGAGGGCGGGCTGGGGAGGGGGAAACGGAGATTCCATCCCCATACCAGTCAGTCTTCTCCTAATGAGAGTGTGGAACGTTCTGAGCCGGTTTTTCGCATCGGGTTTCTTTCTCTTCCTCATCACAGTTTTTTTTTCCTCTTGCGGAGCCTTCCCCCTCCCATCTCTTTCCACCCCCAATTTCGCTTCACATGCCTGCTTAATTCCCGTTTTTCTATTTTCAGACGAATTAATGTGTGAAGAGTCAAGGTATGATAGTATGGAAGTAACGTTTAAAGTTTATTTCTTCACATATTCCAGTTCTGGTTGCTTCTTACAATTGCATTGCATATATCCTTGTGAAGATATGCCCTCATAGTGCAGTTATTTTTTAGTACTCTGAGATTCGAGACGGGACCAGCCGTGAATTGAGGGAAAAACATCTTCCCTTGTCGTTTCTCATCATGGATATCTCTTATTCTGATCCATCTTCCTCATGTAAGTTTTGAATTTTTAGACATACCAATTATTCTCGAATGTTTGCTTGGTACTACGCTTCAAATGCGCTCCTCCTGCATTAGTTCGTTGCAGGATGAGGATGTTTTCTTGGTACCATGATTTTTCAATTATTTCAATTTCAATGACCGAACTGGCGTCATTCCTCTTGTGGCCTAAGCCCGACCTTTTCCAATTCCATCAGCCCCACCCTGCACCGGTTTGATTTATGTTCTTCCTCCTCTGGTCGAGTCCGATTCCGACCCACAAAATAATTTTAGTAACTTTTTCCCGCCGAGTCGAAGAATTGAGGCAGGTACCACTGATTCAATTTAATGTCTCCTAGGGCGCTTTCATGTGCAATGAAGGAAGTGGATTTTGAGTATTTTAATCCTCTTCACCTACGAGGTTGAGAGGAGGAGAAACAAATACAGGCCAGAGTCCGGATCTGACTTGCGAGACTTATCCACTGAGTCGACCCGCGGGCCTTGTGGCCCGCCTAGACGACTTCTCTCCATCCCGTGGAGGCAAAGCGGAGAAAGGAAATGAATTATTCCATGTGGACGGCCCGGCCTGGCCGCTTATGTACAAACCCATAGCTCGATGGGGCCCCTATTCCGCCGTCCAACCAATCGAATCGCGTACAGCGTTATAGAGACTCTGGCTGGTCCCTTGCGGTCCATCGGTGGGAAAAAGGTCATGTATGAAGCCTTCTGGCCCTGATCCATTCCCGCAAGCGGACGCTTCTTCGTAAAGATTCTTGTTCTCTTATGAAAGGATTACTAAGTACGGCAGAAAAAAGTCTTGAATAAGAAGGAACGGCGTTAAGATCTCTTACAAGAACTTAACAGAGAGAAGAGACTCATTCAATTCTCGCTTTCCTTCTGTCTCCTTCCCAATGCCATCACTAATGTTGATGCGAGCCTGTTACTGCCTGGGATGACCGCGCTTCCTTCTCTTTTGAGAAGAGGGCTCTCATATTGGTTGGAGGGCAGGATAGGGGCCCCACCGCCCTGGGGGTTTTTACATAAGCGGACCCGCACGGACTTCTCCATGGAGTCCAAGCCCAGTCGACTGGCGGGCTGCCCGCTGGCCGCGGGCAGGCTCGCTCATCTCTATCCAAGACTTCCAATTAGCTCGAGAATCATTGAACTCTGCAACTGATCTGCCTACCTATCGACACGAAACAGCTGCAGAACTGAAGCGGCTCTATCAAGAAACAGATGACCGGATGACGATCCAACAAGACCGCATCTCAGAGGAAGTATAGATTTACATTTTTCATGGTCAGTTATGTGAAGTATTACATTTTCTCTTTTTAAATAATAATTTGTATTTTGGGAAACTATTAAAGAAGCAAAACTACCATATTTTTCATAGAGATTGTTTCATTGAGTTGCATTCTTGAATAAGTAGCTGTAATAAAAATAATGCACAGCTGGCAAACTTCGAGGAAACACTGTCAATGATTATCTCTTTTTTTCGTACATTCTGTTTTTCCTTCCTTCCAAGAAAAAATCAGCTTACGCACAAGGAAGGACAGTGAGGAGGCTCCCAAGGGAGGAAGGATTCTGTCAGCAATTTTCTCCAGGATGGAGATGCAATTCTTTGTCATGTGTTAAACCCCCCTACCAAACTTAACTGAAGCATTCGATCATGGCTTTGTCTTTTCTCACCTCCAGGAATTCCTGCCCCTTCGGAGATCAGCAGAGGATGCATAAGGACTCTCTTCCAATGCTTCTCAGCAGGGATGCATTCACCATATCGTGCTGTCCCATGAACATGAAGAATAGCCTCTTCCAGGTCAGTTCTGTATGTCATGTAGGAGATGAGATGACTGAGTGAATGCCTTTAAGTGCCATCTAAAATTAAGAAATGATGTATAATTCCTATCTATCCCTCATCTGGCAGATGATGATTTCATGGAGATGGAAGGTGGAGCTTGCCTACACCCATCTTTAATCTTATTTTTCTGAAAAATGTGGAAGGTGGTGAACATCGTGCATCACATCTCATCTGAACTCGCAACATGTTGAAGATTATGGAACATTTTGAACTTGTTTCAAGATATTGCAGTGTGACTCATATACATTTTTGTTCTTCATTCTGTATGCATCATATAGTATAATACCATGCATTGAGTTTGCGTTTGTAGTGAAAATCCTGTTTCCAGAATGAAATGCTTTAATAAGCCTCAGTATTGAGTACTTGATGATTCTAATTGAAGTTCGGTGCTGCTCACTTTTCCAGTATATAATGCTTTCAGGTTTGCGAAATTGTTGATTTGAAGAATTCATTTTGTTTGTATGATCTCAGACAATGAATTATTATATATGTGCTCTTAAAAGATTATACCTTTGTTTGTCTAAACTCCAACAAATGGAGTAGGAAGGACTCTGCCTATAAAATGGATCCATCATTCTGGAATAGTCTTACCGATGAAAAAAGCAAGAGAGAAATCTCCAACATTCAAATATCGACCAAAGGGAAAGCCTGCCATTTGGCACCCATTACCTTTGATCTGGAGCATGCGCACTGCCATTCTCCAGATCGAAAGAAATATATACCTAATGGCACAGATTCCTATTGGTCTATTGGATACTCGTTCCTATTATTAGAACAGGTTGGATTTTGGGTCAACTGAAAAAAACTTTCAAGATGGTCGCCCCCAAGCACATTGACACTGCCATTCTCAAGTAGTACCTATGGGATTAATGAGTAATTTTCCTCTTTTGCAAGCGGACATTACTATAGAAGGCATGGAGATGGCATCCATGACAATTCACATGGACCAAATCATGTTTTTGGCAGGAATGTAGGACAAAAGCCTGAGTCGGCCAAATAAGAATCAAACAGGTACCAAATGCCTAATTGAAATATTAAAACCTTAATTGAAACTTGTTAATACATTTTGAAATACTCCCCTCTTATAATTACGCTAATGTAACATATTACAAAAGTAGGATTTTTCCTATACGCATCCATCAAATAGGTACTTTTGAGGGAAATTTAAATTTTGTGTCTCTGTTTCGTTTGATCAAAAAAAATCAGGAAAATGGGACTTGAAAAAAATTGCCCTGATGGGTTTTAACGAACTTTTTTTCTTCTGAAATGTAGACTCATGGAACTCCATGCCACCCAGTTTCAACCTGATGCGTTTCCCTTTTTGCTAGCGGAAAAAATGTATTTGGAAAACCGACCAAACCAAAAGCTGTGTTCTGAGGAGACGTATAAAAAAAGTTCAAATTTTCCTTAAATCAACATCACGTCAGTGATGCGTGCGCCAGCTACTTTTCTNGCCAGAATACTTAACGAGTTCTTCGCTTCCGTTTTCACTGTGGAATCCGACTCGGCACCGACTTTGGAGGAGGTGACCTCGGCGCGCATCGAGGATATTTGCATCACCGAGGAGACGATCCTGAACATGATACGGAAGTTAAAGGTGGGCAAGGCGACCGGCCCCGATGGGATTCCTGCGAGAGTCATTAAGGAAACCGCGAGAGAAATATCGGTTCCGCCAAGAATTATATTCGAAAGCAGCTTTTCGCTGCTTTTTCGGGAAGTACCTAAGGACTGGAGACGAGCAAACGTCGTACCGATCTTTAAGAAGGGCGAAAAGAGTAATCCAGGAAATTACAGGCCGGTAAGTCTCACGAGTATCCCAGGGAAGATCATAGAGAGCATACTAAGGGATCATCTCTTGGATTTCCTCAGCATGGTTCAGGACAAATCAGGTAATTATTGTCATGAAAAGGTGGTATTGGTGAACGATGTTTTGCTATTACATATTGTGATGATTGCAGGTGAAATCCATCCAGCAGAATCTAGCAACTCCCTGAATCAGAGTGTTTCTGATATCCAAGCTCTGCCATCTCCCAGGTCATTTGTGTCACTTGATGAGGCACCATTTGGTAAGCAGTTCACATATTGTTTCCAGTGCATTCCATAAAATGCCTGAATTGATTCCCTGACTTTTCCTTCAATCTCCCCTACGACACAAGGTACCAGTGCAGTTGGAACCACCCCCCCCCCCCACAATGTGAACTGGAACGACCTGGAAGACTCAGTCCGAATCCTTCATTCGCCCCCAAAGAATTTCTCAAACTTCATGGAAATGTCATCATTCACAGTAGCACCTAACACTATGAGAAACACTCCACCTATTTTGGTAAGCTATGAAAGTACTGTACTGTATGTCTTTGAAACAATGTCATCTGGATTTTAGAAATTGGTACAAAATTGGAGGGAAATCAATAATCAAGAAAAATGTTATTGGCAAGATTTTTCTCTTCATTCGTTGAGTTCATGCTGTGCAATGTGACTTTTTAATCATGGCTTTGTCTTTTCTCACCTCCAGGATTTCCTGCCCCTTCGGAGATCAGCAGAGGATGCATAAGGACTCTCTTCCAATGCTTCTCAGCAGGGATGCATTCACCATATCACGCTCTCCCATGAACACGAAGAATAGCATCTACCAGGTCAGTTCTGTATGTCATGTAGGAGATGACTGAGTGAATGCCTTTATGTGCCATCTAAAATTAAGAAATGATGTATAATTCCTATCTATCCCTCATCTGGCAGATTATGATTTCATGGAGATGGAAGGTGGAGCTTGCCTACACCCAGCTTTAATCTTATTCCTGGAAAATGTGGAAGGTGGTGAACATCGTGCATCACATCTCATCTGAACTTGCAATATGTTGCAGACATATGGAACATTTTGAACTTGTTTCAAGATATTGCAGTGTGACTCATATACATTTTTTGTTCTTCATTCTGTATGCATCATATAGTATAATACCTTGCATTGAGTTTGAGTTTGTAGTGAAAATCCTGTTTCCAGAATGAAATGCTTTAATAGGCCTCAGTATTGAGTACTTGATGATTCTAATTGAAGTTCGGTGCTCCTCACTTTTCCAGTATATAATGCTTTCAGGTTTGCGAAATTGTTGATTTGAAGAATTCATTTTGTGTTTATGATCTCAGACAATAAATTATTATATATGTGCTATTAAAAGATTATACCTGTGTTTGTCTGAACTCCAACAAATGGAGTAGGAAGGACTCTGCCTATAAAATGGATCCATCATTCTGGAATAGTCTGACCGATGAAGAAAGCAAGAGAGAAATCTCCAACATTCAAATATCGACCAAAGGGAAAGCCTGCCATTTGGCACCCATTACCTTTGGTCTGGAGCATGCGCACTGCCATTCTCCAGATCGAAATAAATATATACCTAATGGCACAGATTCCCATTGGTCTATTGGATACTCGTCCCTATTATTAGAACAGGTTGGATTTTGGGTCAACTGAAAAAAACCTTCAACATGGTCGCCCCAAGCACATTGACACTGCAATTCTATACCTATGTACCTATGTAGTACCTATGGGATTAATGAATAATTTTCCTCTTTTCCAAGCGGACATTACTATGGAAGGCATGGAGATGGTATCCATGACAATTCACATGGACTAAATCATGTTTTTGGCAGGAAGGTAGGACAAAAGCCTGAGTCGGCCAAATAAGAATCAAACAGGTACCATATGCCTAATTGAAATATTAAAACCTTAATTGAAACTTGTTGAAAGCAGAGATGGCTCAGAGAGGGAACACCTAAAGCTAAAGTTCTGTAAGCACCCTTTTCTAAGAAATGTGCCTTCCAAGAAATACTGATTTTTTAGGTCATTCCCTTGGGGCACAAATTGTGTGAAGATGTTTCTGAGAAAATAGTCTGTTGCGAATCTGGAACGTGCGGACAATTGAAATTAGAGGTATTTTTCATTGGAAAAGGACTTCATGAACACCCTGTACTTTTACAGTCAGATGCTACCAAACAACCTTCTTCAATTCCATATTCGCCATTTTGAAGAACGCCATAAGTATTTATGTCGAAGAGGGCAACATGGGACCCATTGTTTCACAAAAAGGTTCCTACTGGTTCTGAGGCTAAGGTGTAGCGAGATTGATAACCATTATTCTCTTTTACTCAGCTGGTTCCATACATTAAGAATCCGGAGGACTGAAAGGGAAAAACTGCTTGCTGTGCAAATATATTTGAATATACAGTACATAGGTAGAGCACAGTAATACGCATGCCAAGTACCAAATAAAATCAGTGCCATTTGACACATTTTTCCCTTCGGTTCAGCTCCGAACCTGGATAATTGCTAACAGTATCTTTGAAAGGCATAACTTATTTCAGGTAAATTAAATTAAATCTATTTACATAGAATATTTTAAAATCGAAGACTCACAATCAACAATGGGGAAAAAATAAAAATGTAATTCCTTTCTAGAAAAACTGTCCATGATGTCAATGTGAGTAATTACGAGGTATGGCTTCTATCTATTATGTAAAATAATTGTGTAATCATGCTAATGCGTCGCAAAAATAAGGACTATATATGAATAAAATATGCACGCCTCAGAGCTCTGGATTCCAAAATATTTTTTAAACGTTTTTTCAATAAAACGAAGAGACATGGAAAGCTGAAACGTGGCATGGACGTTCCTACTGACACGATGAGTTCAGGAGAAATGCAAAATTTTAGATCCATGCCCTGGGGGCTTTTTTTTGGGGCCGACGTTTTCAAGTATTTCTTTTTTTGTTCTGGTGTATAGAGCTGAGAAATGTCAGCGACTGACGAGTGAAACAGCTGCAGAACTGAAGCGGCTCTATCAAGAAACATGTGACCGGATGACGATCCAACAAGACCCCATCTCAGAGGAAGTATATATTTACATTTTTCATGGTCAGTTACGTGAAGTATTTCATTTTCTCTTTTTTAATAATAATTTACCTTTTTGGGAAACTACTAAGAAGCAAAACTACCATTTTGTTCATAGAGATTGTTTCATTGAGTTGCATTCTTGAATAAGTAGCTGTAATGAAAATAATGCACGGCTGGCAAACTTCGCGGAAACACTGTCAATGATTCTCTTTTTTCGCACATTCTGTTTTTCCTTCCTTCCAGGAAATATCAGCTTACGCACAAGGAAGGACAGTGAGGAGGCTCCCAAGGGAAGAAGGATTCTGTCAGCAATTTTCTTCAGGATGGAGATGAGTCTAATTCTTTGTCATTCATGTATTAAACACCCCTACCAAACTTAACTGAAGCATTCCATCATGGCTTTGTCTTTTCTCACCTCCAGGAATTTCTGCCCCTTCGGAGATCAGCAGAGGATGCATAAGGAATCTCTTCCAATTCTTCTCAGCAGTGATGCATTCACCATATCGTGCTGTCCCATGAACATGAAGAATAGCCTCTTCCAGGTCAGTTCTGTATGTCATGTAGGAGATGACTGAGTGAATGCCTTTAAGTGCAATCTAAAATTAAGAAATGATGTATAATTCCTATCTATCCCTCATATGGTAGATGATGATTTCATGGAGACGGAAGGTGGAGCTTCTCTACAGCCAGCTTTAATCTTATTCCTGGAAAATGTGGAAGGTGGTGAACATCTTGCATCACATCTCATCTGAACTTGCAATATGTCGAAGACTTATGGAACATTTTGAACTTGTTTCAAGATATTGCAGTGTGACTCATACATTTTTTGTTGTTCATTCTGTATGCATCATATAGTATAATACCTTCCATTGAGTTTGAGTTCGTAGTGAAAATCCTGTTTCCAGCATGAAATGCTTTAATAAGCCTCAGTATTGAGCACTTGATGACTTTAATTGAAGTTCGGTGCTTCTCACTTTTCCAGTAAATAATGCTTTCAGGTTTCCCAAATTGTTGGTTTGAGGAATTCATTTTGTTTGTATGATCTCAGACAATTAATTGTTATATATGTGCTCTTAAAAGATTATACCTGTGTTTGTCAGAACTCCAACAAATGGAGTAGGAAGGACTCTGCCTATAAAATGGATCCATCATTCTGGAATAGTCTTACCGATGAAGAAAGCCAGAGAGTAACCCCCAGCATTCAAATATCGACCAAAGGGAATGCCTGCCATTTAGCACCTATTACCTTTGGTCTGGAGCATGCGCACTGGCATTCTCCAGGTCGAAAGAAATAGATACCAAATGGCACAGATTCCCATTGGTCTATTGGATACTCATCCCTATTATTAGAACAGGTTGGATTTTGGGTCAACTGAAAAAAAAACTTTCAAGATGGTCGCCCCCAAGCACATTGACACTGCCATTCTCAAGTAGAAACTAGTGGGATTAATGAGTAATTTCCCTCTTTTCCAATCGGACATTACTATAGAAGGCATGGAGATGGTATCCATGACAATTCGCATGAACCAAATCCTGTTTTTGGCAGGAAGGTAGGACAAAAGCCTTAGTCGGCCAAATAAGAATCAAACAGATACCATATGCCTAATTGAAATATTAAAACCTTAATTGAAACTTGTTAAAGGAAAACACGCCAAAATAACGTTTCCATTGGGGTTACAAAAGCATTATTTTTTGGTACCCCATATACTATTGCTTATTAGCGTAGCGTTCGTTCGCAATGAAGAGTTCAGAGTGAGTGTATGAAGCGGCAGGAAGGCGGAAAGAGTGGAAAGGGAGACCTTGCGTGTATATTGCCCTTGGCCTCACAATTTTGGCAACCGTAACTGTGTTACGGTTATCTAGTCAGGATCCGGATGACAATATCTTCGGACATCCCTGTCCAGAAAACCCATGTCGCAACCAAGGGTTTATGAGACAACCTCATTTCCAAAACCATTGGTTGCACAGGTACATGTTTGGAGATACGGACCAAGAAATTAATGAAGATAATTTTGACCTCGAGTACGTTTCCCAATAAGATCTGTTCCTGGGGATTGAACAACCAATGGGCGCAAGCTACCAGCCAAGAATCCCTCCTCCAGGAACCTCCTCTGGACCCTGAAGGAAAAGGAAGAAACTTCGTCCGAGAAGCTCAGTTCCGAGAGAAGCGAGGGGCCTCGGCCCTGCCCTTGATAGTGGAGTTTTCACACTCAGCCCGACCTGAGTGTTAGTGCCCAAGTTCGACCCTAAAGAATAGGTCTCTCGATAGATTTAAAAACTTGCTCTCTCTCTCTTACGCGCGCTTGCCTAGGAACCGGGTAGCTCCTTATTTGTTGTTTGTGAATCTCGTGAACTAACAACAATTTTGTTTCTTCATATTTTAAGTACTTTTGTTGGACAACCTGGTAACATTTAAAAACGTGTGTAATAAAAGTAAGTATCAAACTCGGTTGTGGGATATTTCTTTCTCGGCCGTGAACAGGCACGAACCTTTCCTCCGGAAGGAAGAAAGAGCTTCTGAAAAGATAGTTGTCAGGCGTGGGACGCTAGGGAGCGAAATTGATTAAATATTTGTTATCTGTACTTAGCAACCTGCCGCAGGGCCCCGTGCCCGTGACACGGGAAGTTTCACACGTTTGGCCTAGACCGACCCGAAGTACTTCCACAGGTCATTCTCGAAAATGGGATGGTGGTGCTTCATATTGTTCAGAGGGATGCTGGGTTTTATGGGAACTCACTGAGATCTGTAATTTCCGAGAAACAGTTCATGGAAGACATCCCCGGATTGGGGTGCCCGTTTCACGCTCGCACATTCTCTCCGGCCTTTGCAACAGTCGCATCCGTTATTGAGAATAGAAGATAGAGTCATTGAAGGACTTGCGCACTCCCCGTCCCCTTCCAATAATTAAGGGATGTCCACACGATATGAGATTTCACGCGGGAAACCTACGTACAACACTTGGAGTCCCGTTTTCCTCAGTGCGAAGGAGAGTAACTCCCGAGAGTGAAAACGGCTGGATCCAATCTAGATGGAATCAGGAACAGGAGAGCTAATCCTTGGATCACCAGGACGCCGCCGGTGACGTCGCTACCATCCCTTTTTCATATTTGTATTTTTAACTCATAAGTTTGCACGACAAGTGATGGTGATGGACTTTACAGACGATGCGAACTGAGTTGTGATACATAGGTAAAAGTGTCGATCAATGCGAGAACAGGATTCTGGTCAATAAAGGGATAGAGCAACTGCTGCCACGAGCGTTGAGGGGGCCACTGAGTTTTCGGACCTCCGAGAGAACTCGGGAATTCTTGTGAAAGAGTTCTTGAAAGTCTTCCACAGGTCGGCTAGTAGTGCAATGTTTTCCTAATTCAGATCCGAGCAGAATATTCTTCTCACTGTAATCTCTGACCATTCCTTCAGTACTTCAACTCCAATCAACACATCTGAGATGTTCACCTTTTAAGTGTAGTGTCCTGTGCTTGAGGAGCAGACGACAGGAGCAGCGCCCAGTGGTACTCATAATGAATTACCCTGTCAGGGAAATATATAAGTAAATTTAATGCTGAGGCGGCTTCTCACTGGAGGATTTTGGAATGCCTGGACATTCGTGAACATTTTGAGAAGTGCCTTCAATGAGTGTTCCCTCCTGCCCAACACGATGATTGACAATTTTGGGGTCGTCAAGAGAGCAATCAGAGCTGGGGTGTGTCGGTGTGGTTTTTGCTTTTCCGGGGCTGGCAGTTCTATCGTCGTCTCATGGCTGGTTCGTGGTGTGTTTCCTCTGGTGTACTGCGGCTGATGCTGATGATGTCCTCTAATTCTTGGTTTTTCTAACCTGTCTGCTTTTTCTCTTTCATTGACTTATATCACTTCTATCGTGGTAATGTGAAGCCTCTCAGGTGAAAGAGAACTCTTTGCAAGGGACCATCTTGAGATATACTGTAGTTTTTGCAGACAGCGGACACCTTACAACTCAATAATGAGTTAAGACTAACTCAACAATGTCTTATGCCCCGTGAACGATTCATATTCTGAGGCCGTGTTTTACATAGTGCCTGATTATGGCAGAATCCTGGTTCACGGCCAAGCGCCAAGTCCGAATGCTTTTAGTCTGACATCCATACTTCTCGGCTTGTGACAGATCATAGACTTTCATCTTTGTGATTGACCTGGGCCTGGTGATCTTTTATCCTTGTTGATATATTTATTTGCATATGTTTTATTAGTTCTTTCAATTCCAAGTTGAAAACATTAATTATAGAGCTCCCTCTGACATTTTATTCAGTAATTCATGGTGCTAGGCAAGGTGCCATCCCGACTCTAGTAGGGGAAAGTGGGACAAATTGGGGCGTGGGCAAAAAAACAGGTAACTCAGAGATTTTAAGCTAGCCATGCCCGATATATATTAGCTATTTACCCTATTATAACCACCTACCACGCGTGCAAGTTTTCAGGCACGGCAGCACTCTGTAATGTATTTAGTAAACACCATAGGACAGGGGTTCCTAATCTGGGGGGAGCAAGAGGTTCCCAAGGGGAGCGAGACAGGGCATAGGAATTACTTTTTTTTATCTACCACAATGTGCAATTTCAAAAACGATGGAATATTTTATTCATCTAACTTTTTATTGTATTAAAGTAACATTAATTTAGGTCTTTCCGGCACTTTCTCCAGGAGTACAAGACTAAATGAAAGCAATTTAAGGGGGAAGACTTTAGAATTCGATTCCTTTTTTTTCAAGGGATGTACATTTCCACAGATGATTCGAATGAAGATGACCAATGCATCATGCATCCCTTCGGACCGTAACTTGAAAGTTCGATTAATGTAGCGTCCGTGCACTCGTTCTGTCTCAATAAATATTTGAAGAAACTCAATGACGCAGAAGAGCTGGGTTCGCGGGTGCGTTCGAGGGAGCGCGACACCGAACCAGGGTCGCTAGGGTGGGCGCAGCGTAAGAAAGTTTGAGAACCGCTGCCTTTGGAAGAAAATAAGAAAGCATCAACTTTTTTATTTCAGAAATTTTGAGGAGGTAAACAAGGCAACATGGAAGCATTGAATACGTTCGGTCTTTCTCTGGCTGAAAGCGAACATGTTATTTATTGCAATAAGTCATACTTTATTCCACAGCTCACTCACCTTTTGCTTGGCAGTGTCTTAACTATCGACGGTGCTGATGGGTCCAAACGGAGTGGCGATGAGGGGGCAAAATGAGGCGGTATAGCGTCTCTACATATTTAATCTAAATAGACGATGTCCACGGGATTCCCCTTATCCCTCTCTTCCGTCGTCCAGTCGTAAAATTCGAGCAAATTAGTAAGACAATTTCGACGCCCCCTAAAGGTGTCTTGAGTCCCGAATGAGCGCGTTTCCTTCCAGGAAATCCAAGAGATGGTCCCTTTGTATGCTCTCCATGATCTTCCCTGGGATTCTCGTGAAATTTACCGGCTGCAAATTCCTGGATTACTCTTTTCGCCCTTCTTAAAGATCGGCACGACATTTGCTAGTCTCCAGTCCTTTGGTACTTCCCCGCGCGAAAAGCTGCTTTCGAATATAACTCTTAGCGGAACCGATATTTCTCTCGCGGTTTCCTTAATGACCCGCGCAGGAATCCCATCGGGGCCGGTCGCCTTGCCCACCATTAACTTCCCTATCATACTCGCGATCGTCTCCTGGATGATGAAAATTTCAATATCAAATAAAAAGTATGAACATAGGATGTCCATCCGCAGCAGACCCCTTCCCTAAGTGGACCAAAGCAACTGAAAAACTGCGAAGAAGGCACGAAAAAAGAGAAGGAAAGCGAAATTAGCCTGAGGTGCCACCAAGCCGAGCAGGAGTCTCGTCAGCGGCACGACCCTGCTATCAGCTTGCGGTGCAGCCTGTCACTTTTAGACATCTCCGCACTAGGAATGAAAAATGGTGAATGTGAGAGAGACTTAATCTGGGGACGCCTCATTTCCCCTCTGTTCGGGCAGAAATTGTTCCTAATCTTTTTCATTTCAATTGCGGAGATGTCGAAAAGGGTCATGCTGCATCGCAAGCTGATAGCAGAGTCGTGCTTCTGTCGAGACTCCTGCACGGCTTGGTGGCACTTCAATATAATTTCGCTTTCCATCCCTTTATTCATGCCTTCTTCGCAGTTTTTTCAGTTGCTTTGGTCCACTTAAGCTAAGGGTCTGCAGCGGATGGACATCCTATGTTCATACTTTCATACATTAGGCCTTGATGTCTGTGGGAGTCAATTCATCGCTCGGAGCAATTCGACCAACCCTTATTGTTTTTTTTGAGTGAATCTCTTCACCTTGGACATATATACCGACAGTAGGTAGACAGGGTGGCGAAGCGTGCCTTTGGCATGTGAAACAATGGAAGACAGTTATATCGGGAAGTATGAAACTCATGAAAACTCCCCAGTCCGGGTAATCCCATTCATTAGGGATGAGTTGTGCGAATTCGATGCCCGACCATCTCCCATCCGTATATGGATACATAATACCACGTACGCAAGAGGATAATCTGTCCGTGTCAGGATGTCACTCCAAAGAAACTCCTCCAAGACGGATGAACGGATTTTCATGAGTGGGATGTCAATCAATAGCGTATGATCGAAGGCGATACCTACTGGATCTTGAAGCCCAAGAAATCGTCCTATTTTCATGCAATGAGACCAAATTTCGTCAATAAGAATAGCATAAAAATGATACCTTCGGGACTCACGCATCATGATCCGCACTCGCCCCAAAACTCGATTGCCGAGCAGGCAGGTCGATAGCCTGAAGTGTCGAGTTCTGAAGATTGGAGGACAAAGGTCCCCTTAGCTTCATAACTTGAGGTCTCTGATTACGCATTCTCTAGCACCAGACCAGAAACTCGACAATTGTCAACTTCGCTACACTCGCGATGAACGAGTCAGATCGTTCTCATCGAGCCGATCCACATCGATCGAACACAAATCTTCCCCTATTCTAGCAGGACGGTCTAAAATGAGAACTACGGGTTAAACGTTAATGTTACAAAGTTGAACTCGCTGAATACTGGTGATTGGAGTTTCCCTAAAAGACGGAACGTTCACATATAATTGAAAGTATGTTTGCTGGACAATTTCAAGTTCTGCTGCTTTAGGATGCTACTTTAGGATATTATTACAAAAAGGAAATTGCAAGTCTCTCATGACAGGAACCATCAATCCTTTCTCCATCTGCTTCCTGAGAGCTCCTAATTCCTTC